ACAATTAAGAATACTATAGTTTAATTTCTTTTGATTTTTTAAAATCTTCATTTTGTTGACGTTATGTAGTTTATCTGCATGATGACAAATTTGCTGTTCAGTTATTTTACATAAAAAGAGAGATTTAATTTAATTAAACAAGAAAGATTTATTTTTTTACCTACTATATTTATTCTTCTTAGACTATTAACTATAGTATTACAGTATATATAATATGTTGCACTACATTATCAAAAAGTAACATAGACTACATCTTATTAGGAGAATATTAAAACACAATTAGCTAAAAATTAATACAAAAACCAAGTAGATCACTAAAGACGCAAATAAATCAATTTAGGGTAACAGTTATTAATTTTAAGAACTCTCACCTCCATTCTTCATAAGAAATAATATGTTTTTAATTTTGGTAATCGAATTAACCCGCTAGGTAGGAAATTTAAAAATGTTAAAATTCTAAGTTTGTAACGTGATCTTGTTTTTTTTAAATATTTATTTATTTAACACTTTATTGCACAAAAAAAGATAAAATAAATACATTGTAAGGAACATAATATAAATTAAATTAAATACAGTTTTGCAATAGGCGGCCTTATCACTGAACAATAGTTGAGTTTGTAAAAACGTCATTGTTAAATTTGGGCGATTTCCCATATAAATTCAAGAACTCCGTTTTATATTTTGATGCAATTTATAGTAAGTCCTTTGGAGGTTTTTCGTCTTAGTAAATTATTGTTTCTGTCAGCGTATTCCTGTAATTTCTATGAAAGTCATCGAATTGTCATCTGTTCAAGTGCGGATGCCACCGCAAGGGTTTTTAAGTACAAGTGATAGAGAGAGAAAGTCGCGAGTGAAAGCGTGAAGAATTGTCATTTTGACCACGACTCTTTCCACAAATTTTCATTGGAAAAATAAATAAAGTATATAGACAAAAAGAGGGTTTATATGTGTAATAAACGACCGCTGGCAGAAGACTAGTAAACCATATAGACAGAAGAAATTGAATCTTTTATATCCTTTATATATGGCCAACTAATCGCTTTTATGTGGTGAAGATAATTTTTCAAATATTTCTTAACAAATTCTTTTGAGAGTACTCGGACTTATATTTAGAATCTTCGATCAAAGCGAAAAGTAAGAATCATTATGTTAAAAGGGATCGTTGATGAATAAAGTAGGATCTTAAACCGCTAACGTAAAGTAAAAATGGACAGAAAAATTGATATCAGTAGGTACTCAAGTTTCCTATGGTGTAGATTTTCGCAATTCCATATTTAAATATTGACAAAAAAGATCAACAACATCAGTATCTTTGAAGATTAAAGTTACCTATTTTACCCCGTCTTTCTAGTTTTAAATATATCGTAAAAAAAATTGATTCAGTATTTTAAAATGGCTTGTTAGACTTCTCCATCGATATATATAAAACTTTATAGTATGTTGTTTACAGTACATTTTTTTGAAGTACAAATTGAATCATGTAATTGAAAATTATTTTTTGAATTAGGGTAAAAGCTTCACTTTTCAAAAAAGCTTTGTTATTAAATATATTTACTTATTAAATGTTGAATACAAAGTATATATCAAAACATAGGCTAATGATCTTCTATAGAAAACATGTTTTTAAAAATAAACTATAACCTCAAGTAGCTATAAAATTATTCAATAGAGATTACTTACCAATATAATTTCAAAGTTTGTCAATGTCTGTAATTCAGCCTTAACACGATCCACAAGCCTATCGCAGTGCATTATAGTTCATCGAAACTGAGTCAAGTATCCTTCCCGGCCTTTACCCTACATCTATGTACATCTACTCAATGTTATTCATCTCACAAATTGCAATCTTGGGACTGTAGGCGGACCAGTCTAAAAGTAGTGGGCGAATGTCCTACAAAACAATCGATTTAAGTAAACCATAGTTGCATACCTACTAAAAACGACGTAGGTGACGACCGTGGTGTAGGTACCGAAAAAAATACTTATGTTACTCTCACAAAAGCTCTATTGTGCACAAAAGATGATACGACGCTGGAAAGCAAACACATAGTAACCTGCAAAACCAATAGAGAGGAAAATTTTGATATTTTTCCAAAAAAAAAAAACATTCCCGTATAAATAGACCAAGGACCACCTTATTTGCTACCATGGACGTTTATAGGAATTATTTATCGGAAAAAATAAATAAATTCTAGTCTAAAAACAATTTTGGTTTTGTGGGTTACTACGTGTTTGCTTTCCTGCGTCTATATGGATGATATAGATGCCGTCAGTCGAAATCGCCAATAACTAAACAAAGTTTCGTTTCTACAAAAAATACCTTTGGCATAACAGAAAATAACTATGATAAATTTTTCATCCTATGCCCGTATTTGTTGCGGAACTGCCGAGTCACATGTTTCGATTAAGGTGTAATCTTATATTATATAAGTGTTATAGAGCTAGGGCTTGTAGAGTTAGAATCTTAGCTCTATGAGATCTGATAACTTTTTGACAGTCCGAGTCATATAGTCTCAGCTTGGCAACACTTTACATGAAAATGTTTTTGTTTGGATAATACTAACGAAATGTTTTCAAGTATTACTAGGGTATCGAGTATATATGGACATAAATTAGGTGTAGTCGTATTTTTTTAATATCAGAATCAGCATTAAGCCCGTCTCTTATATCTGTATCAAATAAATAAATGGCACCAAAGATCCTGTAGATAATCCAAGATTTATCAAAAATATTTGTGACCTACCTGAACAACTTCTTTTAAAAATGAAAACATAAATTTCTACTGCAACATTAATAAATTTGAAGATCTACAATAATATTAATATAACTAAGGATCTCTCGAGAATTCAGTCGCTCTAGATATCGATGTCTTAGATCAGAAAAAGCGTCTAGAATTTATTTTTACGAGCACTTTCGGAAGTACCAATAAAGAGAAACCCTTTGGTACAATTTGTAGGGTGTTTCCCATATATAATATATACATGGGAAAATATTCGGACAAGTTCTTTGAAGAATATTATCACTATTTTTTTCCTGTATATACAGAAAGCTTTATTTATCGACATTTTCTATCTACGAATCATCCCTTTTCTATTTTCTATATACTTTTTGAGTTAGGTGGTAAAATAACGTCCCCACTGCAGGGATTCAGGCCTTCCTTATTAATGGTTAAGGAGGATGGGCTATGACCCTCCACGCTGGCCCAATGCGAATTGGAGGGTATTAACGACTGCAAATGCAGCCGTGCCTTCCGAAGCACGAAGTAGCTCGAGATAATATTTTTTTTTGGTTACCAGACCTGTGATCGACCCTTGCAAAAGATGCTTAACAACAACGATCGCGGGCCGCGGCGTTTTTCGTCTACGCCTCCGAGCTACATAAAACTAGCTAATTTTCGCAACTTCGTTTACGTAAATTATAGCCTATGTCAACAGTAAGAGAAAGAATTTTGAAAAACCTTTCTAGTAGTTTCTGGAGACTAATCAAGCAAGCAAATAAACGATTAAAAAAATAATATTTTCTCTTTATAGTATTGGAAATTAATTTCTATATTTTCACTAGCAAGTTTTGATATTAATAGTCACCCTACAATGCACTTAGTTTGACCGCCGCAGTCTCAATAATAGTAACTCTATCTTTTCCATTTATTCAAGTCGCTACAAGCTTGCCCTTTATAGAGGTAAAGAAATTCAACTATTACAAATATTACAGCAAGTAAGTAATAGTGATATTCAATTTCGCATATTTTTTTGCTTTCCACATTAAATTTTTATAATATTAAGTAGTCAATTATTTTTTATAGTCAATTTCACATATAACTTTAGTAAATAACATTTCAATTTATAAAAGGTACCAGAAAATGCATTAATAGGTATAATCACCGAACACAACGTCTTTCTGTATTCTGTGTGTATAATAATATAGTAAAAGGTTAATAGTAGTGACACTACATGCAAATATTATCATTGAAAACACCACAGAACATAGACAAACATTTCCACGATTCCACAATGATTAATCCACTTCTCACAGTACGTGAAGCCATTTATATCATAGAATTAATAAGTACTACGGTACTTATTAATTCTATGATTTAGAATTAATAAGTACCGAGTGTTATAGAGTGTTAAGTACTACGGTACTTATTAATTCTATGATTTATATAGATACATAATCAAAGACTATTGGTCCTAGCCATATCTACAGTGGCATTATGAGAAAATACCCTGTAATAACTGTTTTCCCTCACAATGCTATTCCATCCATATAGAATGCCTATGCAGAGAATGTCTAATGCCCCAACTGTAAAAAAAATATTCTGGTGGTAATTAATTTGAAAACTGTTAACGTTAACAGTTGAAAATGTAGCAAGAGTTGTACAAATAAAATATTTTTAGTGGTGTAAACAAAAATATTTTAAGTGGATACAGTAAAATTTTGTATAACGATATACAGGAAAATATTTTTCTGGTTAAAATAAGATTTTTAATATTATTAATAAAAAAAAAACTGTTTGTTAAAATTATACTTTAATTTAAAACATTTTAAAAAGCACAAACCTGTTTCTCGGTTTTCAAAATTTACTGCTAAAGGCAATTCAAATCGGAACGCCGCATAGGAACAGTGAACAATTTTCCCAGGTTTATCTTACTTTTATTTATGTACCAAATGCCGTAAATCATTTATGTTAAAACAAGTTTTATTAATCGTTTTTAAGCAGATATAAGAACACCTACATAACAGTAAAAGCTTTAAAAAAATATCAATTTCAATTAAATATTAAACACACAATTTTCTAAGAAAATAAGAAAATTTTTAAGCACTGACATTCGTTGTACATCATATTAACATCGCTGGAAATACGAATGAAACAATTTCTATGAAAATGTTTATACGAGATAGAATTATAAGTATGATCTACACAACAGATGAGTAGCGTCACGTTAGTGCCTATTCTTTGGTAGCGTTATTATTTCAACGCCGGTGTCATTGTTTTGATAATTGTGTCAATGTACGCGTCATGCACTTGATACTCAAACTATACAGATATCGGATAGCTGCATAATACAATATTTGTTTGTTCCTGATTCTTGTTATTGTTATTTTTAATATTTTAGTCAATAATTAGAGCATTCGCGTTCCGTTTGTCCGAAAGTCAGAACGTATCCTGATTTAGTCTGAAGCCGCCCTTGGTAGGAGTTGCACGCGTTACGTGAGCGACGACGAAAATTATCATCGAGAGTTCGAATTTTAAAAAATTAAAAATGTTGAGTTAACGTTATTGTGGACATTACTGTGTACATCTGTGAAGTACTTGGAATTTGGACGAAATTAATTTCACTATAATATAAATTGTAAGTCTGTTTGTTTATATTATTTGGTTTTACTGTCTGTACGGGTTTCTCAGATGCGGTTTAAGAGTGTTATAGTTTATGTGTTCAGGTGTATTGTGATGTTCTGTAATTCAACCAAGACCTTCATTTATTTGCCGGTGTTTTTATAAATTGACAGTTGCACTATAAATTAACACTTTAAAGTGTTTATGATGAATAGATGAGTTGGATGACATTTATTTTTTACGTAAAATATGAAAAAAAAAATAATAGCTTAATTCTTTATTTTAAATAATTGGACAAAAAAAAATAAACTTGACCGATACTAACTTAAATACCAACTTATATTAGTAGTCGTCCAATTTTTCGAAATTCGATCATAAAGTAAATAGTATCTATGATTTTTAAGCAATCTTAGTTATATATGGCTACTTAGTTCATCATATAATCTGTAAGAAAAATTATAAATTGCATAAAGAGAGTAGAGTGTTTAATATATATTTTTTATTAACTTAATATTCTTAACCAGCATTTTGCATTTTTTCTTTATATAAACATCAACTGTTCCTTTCATTTTTCTCTGTCCACGTAACATTCTTCAATAGATTTACAAAGCTTTAGCTTTAGATATATAATTATTATTCATCAAAGTTCTATTCCAAGCTTTATAACTAAAGCACATAAAAATATGAAACATGAACTGTGATTGTGAAAATTAACCCTCAGATTAAAAAAAAGCGTAACTTCCGATAAGATTTGCAGTCAGTTAATAATTATAGAACAATTATTAACCGCAAATCTTATCAGATAACAACAACAATTGTGGGACAAAAATTTTTTTTTTTATTTTCTTGGTTTTAATATAAAATTATATTTTCTGTGTAAAACTTCATTAGTATTCATAGTGCTACTATCATATGAAAAACTGGTTTTAGCAATTACATTTAATAAAACGTTTTATTAAAAAAATACTACGAGAGCTTATTTTTTTTTAAACATCTGGATACAAAAATTGAGGAACTCGATAACACAGTGGTTGGCACATCAGGTCTGCGATGCGGAAATTAAGTAACATGCGTAAGGGCCGATCATAGGATGGGTGACCAAAAACTTATTATGTCAACTTCCTGCGTACTTCAGATGGCATGTTAAGCAGTTAGTCCCGGCTACATCTGTAGTAGGAAACATCTGAAAATTCGCATTGGGCCCCTGAGGCTGATCATCGCCCATTCTCCCTATTCCATCCATAGGATAGGCCTGTTTGTCAGTATTAGGGATATTAATAGGCTGATAATGGTTAGAAAAAATACTTGACAAAATATATCAAGAAAGGCTGTACCTATTTTGTAAGTTAATAATATAGTTTTGCGTTATTACTAAATTACTATATTTGATAAATTTTGTTTCCACAATGTCATCTTAATATTTATCTTTAAGTAAAATGTTTTAAAAATTCGCCAGTCCCATATGCTCTAGACGGTGTTCGAGCCCGTAAACTTTTACAATCTGGGCAACTGCTAAATTTGTTATAGCAATCCCACCTCGGGCACTTAGAACTGGTGATTATTTAAACAAGAACTTCATTAATGAACTTCATTAACCAAGTAAACCTTTGGGAAAAATGACAAACGCGATGGCGGTACAGGGCAATAATGTCTTTAGTGACAATAATACTAAACAAATAAACATATTAAAAATTATAACTTACCAATAATATAAATATATTGACGTATAAATACACATATACAGCGAATATAAACGTGACGTTGTAACGGTGTGCCATAGCACCGTTTATTTTGCCCTAGGTTTCCGCATGCAAACTTTTTGTCTATGGTATTCAACATCATTTCTTTTTATTATTCACCTTTTGTGATTTGAAATTTTGTCATTGTCATGTCAGTTCGTAAAAAAAATCTTCTTTTGTGAATATTGTAAATCGTATAAATTTAAATATAAAAAATTTATCAATGAAGATAAATTGTTAAAATAAAATTATAAATTAAAGTATCTATATCCTGTAACTTGGATGATCCAAGTTATTATTAAGAAACCCAAAAAGGCGTATGTATAAGTTTTTTTTGGTAAATTTAATTTTTATATTTAGTTTAATATACGAACTTTTTTTATATTCATTTTTTGTTTGTTACAGTTTCTTTTCCTTACCATTTATACCACGAAATAAATCCATTCTCAAGCTAGTCAGCCTTCTATTATTTGCTCAAGTATCGAACCCGTCACAATGTAGAGACATATTTTTGACGACAACTGTACAAAAGGGGCAGATTTATAATTGAAAATTTGCGGGATGACAACGGACTTGTAATGAAGTACATTCCGCGCGGATCCCGCGGCATTTCGAATTTTGGCACGCGAAACTTGTAACCGAAATACCTTAGACTTAATCTATGCAGTCGGAATTGATGGCTTAGAACCCTGAGGGCTAATAGGGACAATAACTTTTTTGTCTGTCCGTCAGGTGAATTGAGGAATATAAAACGCGTATTTTTTTCATATAGCGTAATCTAAAATTAAAAACATTGAGTTAAAATGTCACATGTCGTTAGGCTTTTGTACATTTTTCACAAAACTGTGATATAGTGAGGTCCTACTACTTAACTTTAATGCCATGTTCTTTAAGCTTTTCTTGTTAATCTGAAGCAAAAAAATACTTATCTAATATTATTCTATTGTCTGACTGACAGACTAAATAGAATTTATTTTTTACAATTGGTCAAATTTTATAATTTAACGCATTCCACAAACAATTTGACATACGAGAGCGATTGCGGCGTTTCTTAAATATTAATAAACGATATCGTTTATATGACGTTAATTATATTTGTATAAGGCAAGCGTTAGATTTTTTTTTTATTTAATTATCAACAAACTTTATGGTAACATAAATCGGTTTACTTGCATCATGTAAACCACTAAGGTTCGTAACACATGCAAGAATTTATATAATTTACAGATACAAATATATTTGGAAGCTCTTGCGACATGTTAAATTAATATGCTAACTGCAATCTTTCGAAGGGTTTAGCTAAGTTTGTATTATGTTCGTTGATCAATTAAATGGATATTCGTTTCAAAAGTGATGCGGCTTTAAATGTACATCTACATAAATCATCATAGTAATCGCTATATCTTTGAAAATGCTTGTGACAGATTTTGAAATTAGACAATTAGCCCTCGGGGCTCGTGTAATTCATGTTAGTAACTATTTATATATATGTACATTAATAAATCGCAATTTCATATAAAATATTATGAATAAACGAATGAGTCTTTATTATTACACCGTTATATTGCAAATACTAGCTGTTTACCCGACGTCGCCCGCGTAAATAATAGCATATTTGTATATCACCCGAATTAGATGCTGTGACGGGTTCGATGCTTGGACAAATAATAAAAGGCTGACTAGCTTGAGAACGGATTTATTTTGTGGTAAAAATGGTAAAGAAAAGAAACTGTAACAAACAAAAAATTAATGTAAAAACAGTTAATATGTTAAACTAAATATTAAATTACCAATTAAAACGTATACATACCCCTTTTTGAGTTTCCTAATAAAACTTGGATCGTTCAAGTTGCAGGATATACTTTTATTATATTGTATAATTTTATTTTAATAACATATCTTCATTAATAAATTTTTTATATTTAAATTTATACGATTTAAAATATATGTGATTTACATGTATGATTTTTTACGAACTGACATCCATAAAGAGTATATTTGATTAGTCAAAATCTCAAATTAAGATGCATGCTGAAACCTAGGACAAAATAAACGGTGGTATGGCCAACCGTTACAATGCTTCTCATAAGTAAAAGAATTATGAAAACAAAACAAACAAACAATCAAATCTGTTCTCTTTATATACATATATATATAAAGACAGATTTGATATATATATATATATATCATTCGGTTACCCGACCGTTAATCGAAATCTAGAACTCAGAGATAGAAACATTATTGAAGTCTTCGAGCAACAATTACCTGAATATATATACCTCAGTATTTATGATTCACGTGTAGTTGTCGAATCTGATATTCAGCAGTAATATTGCAATCTGAATTGCAAATGGATCATATATGCATATACGTATCTCCTGTTTGTATAATAATTTAGTGAAATATTGCATAGACAGGTGTATACATTAAGGTTTATTTATCTTTGCGAAATAGTAGCCTACTTGCTTTAAATTTTGCAAGCTCGTTTTTACCCATTTGACGGTTCTGTGATACGTTAAGTAAATTTCGCAGTCATGAGATGGATGACCAAGAATTTATTATCTCGAACTCCTTCAACTTTCGGAAGGCATAATAGGTCGTTGGTTCCGGCTGCATATGCAGTTAAATCCCTCCGATTGGACCAGCTTCGAGGGTTATGGCCATTCGTTTTTAACCATCCATAATGAACGCCTAAGCCCCTGTAGTGGGCCGAAAAAGGATTGATGATGATGATCTCAGTACAAGCTCGCTAGATTAGGCCATATCTAATCAGTTAGACGTTCAGCCCATTCATTCAATTATTAATGAACACGTGGTTCGAATCATATCAAAGTGAAGAGACTTTTTTTAGCAATTATGTATTTAAGAAAATCATTATTTATATTCTTGTCATACTTAATTAAAATTTATATATCAGCCATTTACAATGTTGCTAAATAGGGTAAATCAGTTCACTCGTAGAGGATAAGCGCCGCGGGCCGCGATCGTTGTTATTAAGCAACTTTCGCAAGGGTCGGTCATGGGATGGGTGAACAAAAAATTATTATCTCGAGGTACTTTGTGCTTCGGAAGGCACGTTAAGACGTTGGTCCCGGGATTTTTATAACACTTCTCAATAGGTTGTAATTCGTCACGCCGGCAATTCCCTTGAGAGGTCAACATAAAAACAAATAAATTACAACAAGTGTGCTAATTACGTAGAGGCCGTATTTATTGAGCGTCGTTCGCAATACTCCGAATGTGTAATGGTGAAACCATGTAATCTGAAAGCTGAGCT